AATTTTTTAACTAACAAAGCACAGTCAAGTCTTTGTTTGAATGATTTAAATAATCATTGTCGAAAAAAAAAAGGACCGGATGAAGTTCAAGGCTAAAGCTACATTTCTCTTAACCTAAAAAAATATGCATTTTATGAAATGAATTATGTTTTTCAGAATTGAGTTTCCACGTATTTATTGACCGTTTCTCTGGAAAATATCTAAAATTTATATATTTGCCCAAAACTTTATCCAGACTATTTTAAAATGTGTCATTTCATTATTGACTCCTTCAAGTCACCTTTTGCTTGTAGCGCATTCTTTTGCAAATGAAGTACGAATTGTTCACGATATTGTAATGCGTTAGGCAAGCTCCTTTTGGGGAACCAGTCGATCCCTGTAACAGTAGGTGTTTGCCAAACATTATTTATAATACAAATTAGATATTTAAAAATTCCATTCAACAGTAGCAACTAAAAAGGTTAGGTACAGTTATTATATATAAGAGTTAAATATTCCTAAACTAATATTCAAAAAAAAAAAACGGACAAACTAAACCTAGCTGGTTCTATGCTTAAGAGGACATACTAGGCACGAAAATCTTTTTGCATTTTTTTATCGGTTTTGTTAATTTTTACAAAAATACAGTAATCCCAACCAAAATGGATTAGATCCTTATGTTAACCATAAATTATGGTTATCCTTTTTTCCGTGGACTCACCGAAGTAAATTGTATATTACATATCGTATGCGGGTCGAGATCAAGGTTTAACTTCCTCAGGTAGGCGGCAGATTTGGTCGTTCCCGATTGGCACACGTCCCAGAACTTGATAATCCCTCTGGAACATACAAAGTAGACTTGACAGTATATGTACCGAAATCATTTTAATAAATTCCAAACAGGTACAGAATTATTTGCATTGTAATATAAAGTTAAGACTTAGGGGGGATTCGTTTCAGTGTTTATAACGATGAATTCTAAATGGGGTAAATGCCTAGAGGTCACAGGTTTACCGTGTGGTTGGTGTTCAATTTCTGGCACGATTTTCTTTAGCAATTGATAATAATCTTGAGCCGGGTTGTTCTCAAAAGCGATTAACATTTTAGCATCGACTTTCTCCAGACAATGGTGGAGTTCGCGACTCATGTACAACGGATTTATGTTTACCTGCAGAGTGTTGAGATGTAATTATTATAAATGCATTTGTGCTTTATTAGGTCTTTTTAGAGCGTCGCATGGACACTATTAAACATGGTCTTTACAGCTATTATTCCGGCCTTCATTGCAGCTAACAAAGTAATTTCCCATTCCACCGAATTGGATCCCATGATGCCAAGTCGGTCACCCGGTTTCATGCCCATTTCTAAGAGTCCAGCTGCCAGCTCTTCGACCTGCGACCATTACAGAAAACGACAATATTCACGAGTGGACAGAAAAAATAGCCAAGATTAACGTCATTTGATCTAGTGTACATTTAAGGTATATTGGCTAATGTTAATTTACCTCGTGTTTGAGTTCTAGAAAGGTGATTCTTCGGTTCTGTTGAACGGAGACTATGGCCTCCCTCTTCGGATATGTCTCGGCGGCTAAGTCGACCAATTGACCGACGGTCATGTTTATCAACGGTTCATTTTGGATGCCTTTGTAATAACTCGGTTTCGGTAAAATCGAAGAGTCCGTTGAACTGCAAAACAAAAATTGGTCTCAATTTAGAAATTGTGCTTACGAGTTCACGGTACACAACGATAACTCCCAAATCGGCTCAATTTTGTTGTAACTAACAAAAGGTATAAGGAATGTTGGAGACAGGATAAAAGATTGTTTCATAAAAATAAAATATTTCATTGTTTTTTGATAAAATCTTATTTTGCGTTCGGTGGAATTTCAATGGAGGCCCTCCTAAATTAGTACAATATAACAAGGCTATTAAAAACATATTAATATGTTTGATGATCAAATTATGGTTTTTTTATTGAGAACAACAGACTTAAATATTACTCCACGATATTTCATCCAAAATCTTCTTGGAAAAATTTGTATTCCAAAATATTTAAATAAAAATAGTAACTAGTTACAGTATTTATAACTAGTGAAATACAAGTGAGTTTACAAGCAGAACTAAACAAGTTACTAGTTATTTTTTTATTACTCTAACTAAATAAGTACCTAACCTAATTTGTATACAAAATTCTGGTAACTGCGATGCCGGACAAGTTACATTTTCAAACTAACTTAATATTAGTTTATTATATAAAAAAATCTGCTTGCTAGTTGTAATGTTACATCATTTTTTAAGAGAATTTTGTTATAAATAACACATTTCTGAATATCTAAATTTTACAGAATTGTTTTATGAAGAAATCCTGGTAAAACTCAAAGGTAAATAATTGCTGTGTGTGAGTGGCACGTTTTAAACTTAAAATCAACATATATAGAATTATGTAATTGTTGTTTTATCATAAAAATGAATTAGTTCTTAAAATCATTAAGAAAGATGAAACTACCAAAAGATGAATTATTTTTCAGAGATTAGAGTGAATCGGATAAAAAACAACATGTGAAACAATTGTATGTATTTTATAATATTATTTTTTTATTATATTCCAGTTCGTCTCTTACTTACCTTTTGTCATGACCGCTCATTTTATACACCGTTTACGATTTAACTTTACTATATGAAAACAATTTTATATTAATAGAGAATTTACAGCTTTGAACTGTTTTTCAAGACTACTATTTGATACTAAAAAATAATTGAACTTGAACACCAAATGTGATAGAATAGAGTCTGAATCGCCCAGAAGTAAGTACAGTGTGCACTAATCTACTGCCAAATAATAATAATGATTTCTTACAACGAAAAAAATAAACGCGTTATTCTTTTAGTAGAATTTTTAATAAAGTAAACTAATTAAATTGCAATTTTTATGCTACCTTTATTTTAGAATATTTCATGTCATATACATGATTTTAATTATAATCAAATTTTAACAATGGTTAATTAGTTCACTTTTTTTTATTATATCGGCAACCTTAACAGCAAAAAAAATGCAAAAAATTATCATTTAATTTTAATACCATCATATATTAAAAATAATATGGTAATATATTCATTAAGATTTTTATAAATTTCTAGAGTGAATAAAACTACACATCTAATAGCAATAATTTTAAAAAACATAACTATTGAGAAATATTTACTTAGTTTTCATGATTCGTGATTTTTTTGAATTTTTTTGATGGTGCCGGTTTTTGGTGACAAAGTTATAAAGTCGAGAGCTGACAAAATTTAAAGCTCAAATTTGTTTATGATGAAGTATGATGCGTGTCCTTAGGAATAGACGTGACATGATCATTCTAAACTATTTTCAATTTTAAAAAAAATCGTATGAATGTCGGAGTGCGGTTAAGTAATGCACACTGATAAAAATCAAAACCGGTTATCAAACGTGGGTAAATATTTGGTACCACTAAATACAATAGATATGGAAATGTAACGATCATATTTCACCTGACCGTTAGTTCGCGTCCCAAACCTACTGACACAGCACCCCCGACTATAGGTAGGACAATGCACGTCGCGTATCATCTAATTAACCAGTTGACTTTACCATCAAGGACCGCCAATATCCTCGACCTTGCGCTCTATATTTTTGCCGTTTTACTACAAGCCGCCCATCCGACTATCTTTTGTGTGCGTCCGTTTTAACTCCGCTTTGACCAACCATTTCATCGTCCAACCCAGGTCAGAGTGTATATATGTATATATATATATGTATGTATTGTATAATTTTGTATTTTATTTAGCAACCCTAATTTAGAATAAAACATCTTGTAGCCTGCAGCTGAGAGTTAGATTATTTAACAGTGTGACCGCCCGTTCTAGCTCCTCGGGCGATATATTAAGTTAATAAGGGAGATTTTAAGGCCAATTAGACGTAGACAGCGCCCTAGCCAACAGTTTTCCCGTGGGGATCCGTCTATTTTAGCCTTATCGACGGCCCTTTGCCTAGTCTAGCCAGCTAGACAAGTAGGTCCGTTACAAAAATATGAAAACTTATTTTGTGAGCAAAATGAAAAATTTAACACCAGCAATAATTAAGCCCACGTTTTGTCAAGGTCTCTAGACGGGAACACATTATTATCATTTTACACGAGCTCACATGTTATTTTGATGACTCACGTAACGTGAGTATGTATGGATGTTGTCATACTAGCATCATTCCATCACGGCATTACACATGCAAACACCAGTCAGGCAGTGTTTGATTTTTGTACACAGCTAAACTAGTTCTCTATAGCTGGCCAATTTATAATTAAATAACAACCTTATGACGTCTAACTTGCTCAATTATTTTAATTTTACATGGACACCTAAGACTTAAATTGTTTTAACTATTGTCGGCGAAGGGGGGGGGGGGGGGGGGGGTGGGGGTGACGTTTGTCCCACCGAAAGGCCGACCGATCAATAAGAAAATCTGTGCGTCCATCACACTGAACGTTTCTGTAGATAATATGTGCGTGTGGCGCAATCTAGCGGTTGTTTTATGAACGAAAGAGCTGATAAATAATTATCAGATAAGATATGAGAGATAAGGGATTCGGTACCCTTAATTAGGATATGGGGATAAAAATGTATAATATATAAGGATAGTTAAATGAATTTGTTAGGTAGGGCACTTACTTACTGGCGAACCACAGAATTTCAAATTATTTTTTTTTTCTTCAATATAATATAGCGTTTATTTGAAAAATACACAATTCACCCAAAAACAACGACTAAGCAAATAAGGTGATGGAATTACAAATAAGGAGTGAACAAAGACTTGAAAAGAAAACTCACATTAGAGTCCCCTGCACATTTTTATAAAGAGCAAGAAGGTTTGATAAATGAACTTCATATTATCGAAGTGTTATCTATTTATTATTCGCTTACAATATGGTCAATTACATCATACAATACATAAATTTAAGTTTAAAACCCTTAACCATGCATTTTAATTAATTATATGTAACCATGAGTTGCTCGAGTTTCTTCTGCATAACACAATTATAACATTTAAAAAAAACTCATAGATCAAAGATACTATTGTGTGTAAATTAAACTAAGTATTCGATACACTAATGGCAGTAGTCGTTTTAAGGACAAATCTACTATTCCTTCAAATGATCAATCATAATTTCACGGAGTTTGAATTTCTGAATTTTGCCAGAAGCCGTTTTTGGGAAGTCGTCTACGATCATCACGTGAATGGGGACTTTGAACCTGGCTATCTGCAATCAGTACATAAAATGCACGTTTATGCTATTCAAAGTACTCTCGTTTCCAGTCGAGATATTAATTTATAACAATAAATAACTCACGTTGCCGGAGCAAAAATTTTTTACACCTTCCTCGTCGAGCTTGGAATTCTTTATGGTATTTACAGCTGCGCAAACCACTTCGCCGAGCCTTTCGTCCGGTATACCGAACACCTTTGAAAACAAAAGAGTATAGAAAAGGATAAAAAATCAGTTTAGCTTCCATCCCTTCTGTCTCCATAGCTGAGCGCGACAGGGGTGAAAATATTGCAGAAAGAGTTAAGATTTTTTAGTTCGAGAAGGATACGCTCTCATTTTATATAGACCTGAGGGAGTGTACTACTTAACAGCCCTGTCGTCTACTAACCTGGGCCTGGACGATTTCTGGATGAGTTTCTAGGAAGTACTCGATCGTCTGCGGTTCTATGTTTTCTCCGCCTCGAATTATAATGTCTTTTATCCTGCCCGTGATCACGCCGTACCCGTCTTCGCTCAATACGAATAAGTCGCTATATTTTAATTAACACAAGGCCATCAAGTAATATGATAATATTATAAATACATTTGTTGTTTACACTATTTACATGACTTGAGGTTACTCCCACTTGGATGTGTTGACTAGTTCGCAAACGTTTCGAAACACTTGCACGTCCATGGCTGTGGTTCAATGTTGCTCTTACCGCGCTCTTCTACAGATGGAACGTGCAAGTGTTCCGAAACATTGGCGAACTAGTCATCACATCCAAGTGGGAGTAACCTAAAGTCATGTAAATAGTGTAAGTATAATACCCCACCCAAGCTTCAATCATTTTTTAACGTTTGTCGTTATCTCTATTGAGTAACCCTACCCCGAACGAAGCCATCCGTCGTCGTCGATGGTCTTTCTTGTCATTTCCACGTCGTTCCAGTAACCCGGCATGACGTTGTACCCTTTAAACCAAGCCTCTCCCGGAGTACCCATAGGCACCACGTCGCCGTTTTTGTCCACGACTTTCACCTTCAAACACGACATCAACGTCCATATTATTAAGATTTTAAAACGTGTTCGTTTTGTTGCTCTTCCTTTGTTTACACTATGGTCATCAGCTAATTTTTATTGAAGCATTAGTATGTTTTTAACCTAACATTATTCCTTAATTAGTCATTCATTAATAACCACTATTCCCTTATCACTTATATCTTATCAGCTGATTCTCTTATCAGTTAATAGATCGATTAATGGGAAATCCATTAATCGATTTTAATTTCACCAAAACAGTACAATGTAATAAAATGATCTTACTTCGCAATGATCGATGACTTGGCCAACGGTTGTACATGTTTTCTCTTCGGGATCGTCAGGGTTGGAAAGAAAAACAAGAGGACTGGTTTCTGTCATTCCAAAAGGACACTAAAATGCAATATATTTATTATTAATATATTTGTACACATTATGATATCCATGCTAATTACAACAATGGCTATCACTATGCACCAGAGAATACAATATTAGTTATTACCAGTAAACGTCCGACATTTAGAACGGTTTTGATTTGTTTAAGCAAATGTGGAGAACACATAGCTCCCGCGCAAACTGCCACTTCCGGTGTTGTAAAGGTATATCCTTCCTGTAGGAGTTCTTTGGAAACACAAACCAAGTCGACGTACATTGTTGGAGTACCGTACAAAACTGTACATCTAAAAACAAATGATTATAAAAAAAAAATGTGCAAAACTGAATAATATTTTTAAA